ACTGTGGCTACTCACAGCACTAATAAATCACTGAGGAGATAATCATATGCAAAATTTTCCAGCCATTTTGAAAAGCAATCTGTATCAGTACAGGGAAATATTTAATCTGCTTATCAGACTGCAATGGGAAAGTAGTTGGAGATTAGGGGAGGAAGTAATAGTCTGATGTTTAGAGAGTGTCTAGTAGGCTTAGCTTTATCATTTTATCAAGGCACCAAACTAGCCCGCATTTGTTTGCTCCTGACGTTAATTACAAGGTAAAGCATGTGTGCAGTTAAATAAAAGGTATTGTTGTTAATTCCAAGAACAAGGTAGGGAAAAGGGTAATGTTAAAAATATACAAGCTAATCAAAATATTTTTCATATCTTTATATGGTGAAAGGCAGTGGAGCTTTGCATAAGAGTCACCAAATTAAACTATATTTAGAAGTACATGACATGTATAGCGACATCCATCTAAACCACCTTCTGGATAATAAAGAACAGCTTCTCTTCTCTCTGTATAGAAAACTCAGGCTGGGATTCCACCCAGTCAGGAGGGACTGAACAGAATAAGTGCCCAAATAAGTATCTGTCTCAGACATTCCATTTTTCTAACAGTTAATCCTCAACCAAACTAATGGATATATTTACCAAGGGGATCTAAGACTACAGTGTCAGTAGGATTCCAGTCCTGCAAATGTAAAACTCTGCTGGGCTGCCAAAACTTAAGCCATAAAGTTTTCCTGATTAACATTGTTATATTCTGCAGAGTTAATCAGAGAAAGTAGGATTAGAAGGGATCTGAAGAGGTCGTTCAGGGTATCCTCCAACCCAAAGGCTGGAACAGCTACACATAAATCAGTAGATGTGTGTCTACTCTGTTTTTAAGAACCTCCAGGGTTGGATTTTTACACCCTTCTTAGGCAGTATGTTCCAGAATTTTCCTGTCTTGGAAGATAGTAAGTGTTTCCCAATCCATAAATTCAGTTTGTCTTGCTACAATTAAAATCACTGTGCTTCATATATTTGCCACTGTGGACATGGAAAACAATTTAATTTCCTCCTTCTTTGCAGGTAACTTCTATGTTTTTAAAGATGAATTGCCATGTGTCTCCTCAGTCCTTTGTCCTTCACCATGATGAAAGTTGTATTACAAAACTACTACCTTTCAGAGCATCTGTAGCTTTTGGTGGTGGAGGATCCCTTCATTAGCCATGGATCCCTTTGTAGGTGGAGTTTTGCTACGATCATCGCATATAGTCTGTGTAGGGCCAGCAATGTATCATCATGTGCATCAACCAGTTTCTGCTAATCTCAGGAAATCTTGAATTCTGCTTTTCCTTGGGTGGTAGCAGGTAGCGGGACCCACCAAGCACACTACCTGAATGCACTGTACTACCCACTGTGAGTTCTAATGGTTAGGAGAGTCGTGCCAGGTCTCATGGTTCTTTTCCTGGTAAAACAAAAACTTTTTGGTGAAAATTTCTACTGGTGAAAATTATTTAGCTCATGACCTTCAGCTGATTGCTTTTACCTTCCCCCAGCTCAGATGGCCCACTGGTAAAATCAGGATGGCATGAAGTCAGGATGACTGACAGGTGAAAAGTGCTATCGGAGAGCAAATGAACCATGCTCCTATATGTGAACGTATTCTCACCAGGACTGCAGTGACCTCTCTTATTGCTAGGGCCTTCTTGGAATAATTGTCTACCACCTGATTTTTTAAAAAAACCTAGGAAGTAATAATGCATTATACCATAAAGAAAATTCATAGATTAAATCAATCTCCCTTCAAAGCAGTTGCATATATATCTCTCTCTATGTCCTGTAGATTTTCAATTGTTACAGTATGAGACAAAGGCAAACCAAATGATCTGGAAAAATTCTATAATTACATACATATATATAAAAGGAATATATATTCTATATACATATAGAGAGAGAGAGACGAGTTAAGAATTCAATCCAGTTTTAATACGTCAATATATCAGTCTGAAATAAGAGCAATTAACACACCAGTCTATAAATCAATGGTTTATTTACCAAATTAATATTCCTCATTCAGAAAAGCATACTTCCTCACCTTCTTGTGAAAACTTAATCTACTAGTTTGCATAGAATTTAAGAGTCAAGCAACACTTGCATTGTGCTGTTTGCAGAACCAGGAGAAAGTGGAGAATAAAGTAGTGTTTACTGATCAGTGTTTTCATCAGGTCCTTGACACTTATTCCTGAATTTCTTAGTTTCAAAACTTTTCCACTATTTTAACTAAATGCTGATCTTTATTTTTAAATCACACCACCACATAGCTTTCCAAACTGGTCTATTTCCAGATTTCCTGTTAATGACTCAGCCAAGGTCATGATAGCTTTTAAATGGCTGACTGGGGCTCAGTCATTTTTCTAGAACCAGGTCTGAACACAAGGTGCCTCTGTCAGTCAGGGCTGCTATGAGGAAATTCTCTGCTCTTTTGTGTTACTGCCCTTTAATATAAAAGAGGTTTGAAAATGCTTGCTGCAGCTGCTGAAAATGGCCTGCTGTCATTTTTTTCAAATGGCATTTGAAAAATAGATCATCATGGAAGATAAGCATAAGCTTCTTACCTTTTTTCCTTAAGGAACACATACTGTAGCATTTACTCTGTCCATATTTAACCTGCCTAAAAATATTTAAATGTGGTAGAGGAATGTCCTGTAGATTTTCAGTTGTTACAGTACAAAGGCAAACCAACCGATCTGGACAAATTCACCACTGCTCATTCCACATTCACACATAAGAAAAAATGGGAGCTCTTTAGCCACTTCACGAGGTTTACTCGGCTTTAAGAGCTAAAAATCATTTATAGTTTAAAGGAGTTCCAGAAAACAATTTAAGAAATTTATCAGTATGAGCTCCAAAAAGTACCTTGTTGTACATAGTCATGTTTGTACTTGTTTTGTAATGTCACAAAGCTTCTCTTTTCCCTAAACTGAAGGGAAAACATTAGCAATTATTATTTACAAAATGAATCCTGAAAAGGTTTGCAAATGTGCATGTGGGAGATTTTGGAGCATCTTCTTCATCTTGGCTGCAGTTATAAGCTTAGATCAACTTTTCCTAGAGCTTTATAAGAATTTGACAACCATTTAACAGTTTATTCCACAGAATCACATGAATTGTCGCTGAATCTTTCACCAAAGAGTACGTAACACTCACAAGACACAGTGAAGTGCTTGCATTGATTTATCTGTTGGAAATGTATCAAATACAGTTCATAGTTTCTCAGGTGTTAGACGTGTACTCTTTACTTTCTGCAGTATCAATCAGGTCAGATGTAAGATCTCCATCAGATGGACAGAAGTGGCATTGGTCAAACCCCACAAATCATTAGCAGCAACAAAGTACTAAGGGACGTGGGTTCAACTTAGTCTTGCACGCAGAGTAAAAGTCAGTAACGTGCAGGAGTCATGAAAGAACTACTATGAACCTTGTAATTTAAAACCTCCATTTTAACCTTAAGGGCTAGCATGTTGCTTAGCTCCAAGACAATAGGCAGAGCTAGTGCTAGCTGGCACCATCCGAAAACACTGCCAGGGGAAAAAAATCTATTATTCTGGATTCACAGGATCTTTTCTGACTCCTACTGCCCAAGTGCCAGGGAGGAAAAGTCTTTCCAGATAGCTGGTGCCATCTCAGCATCTTATTTTCTCTTTTGAGCCAGGCTGGGGATGAATTGAGACACTGAGGAGGGCAGTGGATGGGTGAGGAATGACACATACTTACCTCCCTTTGGCTTGCTTGTGAGCTAAGGAGAGTCAGACTCTACAGTCAGCACCAGGCCAGCATTGTCGTCTAGATAAACAGCAGTATCTGCTGTGGCACATAAGAGCTATTTACCCAAAAAGCTAGGAAGTGCTTTTGCATAGTTTGGAGGCCCAAGCCATGGCCTCTGCATTGCTATGAGATGGGAAATATGCCTAGAATCATACCCCTCCCCACTAAGGCATCCTGACAGTCACAACTGACTCAGCTGCTTTCACAGCCCAGGGAATCTGAAACCACTCCAGCGTAAAAGGTCACCCTTCTCAGAGATGTGACATTCAGGCTTGAGTGTCACCTTCCATTTGAAAAACTCTTCAAATCTAACTCCAGTTCTTCATATAAGAATTCTCTCCTCAATCCCTGCTCTCCGATTATTTGAGCCAGACACAAAGGTGTTTTCCCAGCTGGATAACATGAATGCCTGTTCTGCTTTAAAAATGTCATACATTCTTTTATAAAGCCCCATTTGCTAAATTTAGCTGATCAGTTGCATGTTTTTAATACTAAAAGTACATGAAATGGATTTCCCAGTATGAGTTTTTTATTTGGGCAGCTTCTTTAGAGAAATTATTTGGTTGTAAATGGAAGAGGAAGTATTCATAAAATAACGTCTTTGTTTGGGTTACAGCATTTTTATGAATGCCTGAGATATGGGAAGTACCACAATTAACTTCAGGTTTCAAGAGGTTTGTACTATCATAATAATCATCTAGATAAAGGGGGTGATGTTTAGGAGCTGCCAAAGAATATATTAGAAGTTATAAGGTAGGTCTGAACACACACCTTCTGAGAAGTCTGGGAATGGTTAGATCTTTTTCTTCAAAAATGACATTTGAAAGCTCTTTGGAGAAGGCACAACGTTATTCCAGGTGTGCATTGTGCAGCAGCTTGGACAATGGAGGTTTGATCTTTCATTGGGATGAATAGATGTTAGTGCAACAGATGTGTACATATAAACACAAGGACTACTATTTGTTTTTTAATTCTACATTAATTATGTGATCCTTTAGCTTTCGGATGGTAGAAAGCATTTCCTTATTAGCTTTAAAAATGAGAAAAATAACATTTTATTACCAAAAGACCAAAAATGAAAGCAACATGCATTAAAGACTTTTAATAAACAGATTCCAACAGTGATCTGATGGGACATTTACCCTTCCTAAAGGCAGGCAAACCAATTATCTCAGATATTGTCTCTGCTTGTTTCTTCTGGACAGGATCTCTGTTTTCAGCTCTGAAGCCCCCTGAAACGATCTTCAAGGTGATTTTTTGGCTTGGCTACTTTAACAGCTGCTTGAATCCAATCATCTATCCTTGCTCAAGCAAAGAGTTCAAGAGGGCTTTTATACAGATCCTAAAATGCCAGTGTCACCGTCGAAAGCAGTTGGGGTGGTGGGCCTACAGCTACAGGAACTGGAATCGGTGCTCCTTCGAACACCCTAGGAAGGACTCTCTGGAAGATAGCGGGAGTTTCCTAAGCGGCAGTCAGAGGACATTATCTTCAGCATCTCCCAGCCCCGGCTACCTGAGCAAAATCACTCACCCACATCATATGGAGATGTGCACATTCCAGGAATGGAAGAACTCCAGCTCTTTCCTGAGCCCCTTACAGGAAGGCAGCAGACAAAAGGACCCATGCCAGTTCTTTACCTTCAATCTCTTAACAGAGCGCAATGGACATGTTCCTGCTGGCAGCCAAGCTCCCAGCGATGGGGACCATGAGGCCATGTGTGACACACTGAATGGCAAAACCGACTGTAGAGCAAACATGATGCTGGAATGAACAGATTCTGAACGGTCTGTCCTCTTTGTACACGAACCTGTTTCACATTTAGCCCAGGTGAAGAAATGGACCTTTGCACAGTTTCTCAACATAACACTGGAAGGAAGCCAGAGAGGAACAGGCAGATTTTTGTCACAACAGCAGCAAAGTTTAGGGGCTAACCATATTCCCAGTCAGTTGCCAGAGGCTACTGAAGCAAGAACAGAATGCAGGGAAGGCACCGCATAAACCCAGGGAAGTGCACATCCAATTATTCCAAAATGTTGTGGAAGTGCTGTGGAACAGCCAAACACATATGTATATAGAAAGAATGTATAAATATGGGGGTGGGCAGGGGAAATGTGTATGAATGTGTGCGTGTGCATGTATGTGTCTGCATTGTATGGATGCCTGAGAGTGGAAGTGAGCAATGAAGTGTTGTTTGTACCTCTCCAGGGTACTAGTTGCCGCTGGTTTTGCCTGTAAATTCTTATTGTTGTACTTCACTGTACATTAGCACTTTAGAAATGGAAAAGAATGTCAAAGATTAAAGTCATTTCGCAACAATTTAAACACTTTCACCTATTACTATAGGACAGGAATTCAGCCAAGTTCCCTCATCATGATTTTTACTTAAAAATAAAACACTCATAGCGGTTAAGTTTGCCATTGTAACTCCTAGCATGCTCTTGAATCTCTCTGCAGTTTCTTCCTTTCCATGATTCCCACATCACCAACATATGCAACTCTTCTATCCTTCACCATGTTCTTTTTTGAAAGTTTGAAAATACCATCAATGATGAGAGCTCACAATCTACATTTCAGCACACTAGTAAGTGTCCTGTAAACGTTCAGGCTACCAGAGGATCTGATTTCTAAAAGCAACACGCATAAATCACTCCAAATACCTCATAAACAGTGTTGTGGACAGAGCACAAAAGAGCACTGGCTCCTGGAGGCCCAAACCCCAGCCTTAGGACAAATGCACTGAGCCCCTGGTTCTTTCAGCACACTTTGAAAATCATATTGCACATTTAGAGGCCTTTACTTTGCCACTCAGATAAGAAGAGAAAGAGTCAAAGCAATGGAGTAGCGTACGTTTCACTGTCATAAATATTTTTCAGCTCAATAATATACTACTGTAAGAGAAGTCCTGAGAATATCTTCTAGGACATTTTAGGTCATGTTTGGAAGTTATTTTCATCTTTTGCAATTAAATGTGAATCATGAAACTAATGACTGACTTTTTTACATGAAGTGGTACAAACCATGAAAATTGGTATTTACTCCTTCCTCCAACTGAGACCTTCCTTATTAGGGATTTTAATGACTTTTTTTTAAAGCTTGAAACAGAGAACAAACCATAAACAGATGTACTAAAAACACTTAGGGACAATTTAATAATGCTAGGTCCTAAGGGAGACCCATTTCCTTTTGTTTTTTTTAAATGTATATTCTCTCATTAAGTTGACAGGGATGGATGTGGCTTGTGGTTAGATGAAATATCCCCCAGTTCAGTGAGCAATGATAGGGAAGTCATGTTCCAAAGTCTTCCCATGGTCGTATGTTATAGTAAGAACCACATAAGTATATTTTAAGTCTTATCCTGATTCAAGTTATGGCAAATCTCCTAGTTTAATAATTCCATTTGGATTGTGGAGAAGGTCATAATTTCCTCTTAAAAGGACAATGCTTATAAAATTTAAAAGTATTATAAAATACTCTTGTTGCTCATACATTGAGCTTGCCACAAAGAATATTCTATCTAGCTGTGATATACTGGTATGAAGCTATCCTCTTCGGGCCTGTAAAAGGCAGAGAACTGTATTTCTAACCTACTGTAATAATTTTTGGAGGGAACCTACAGTAGTCTGTCAAACACTTCTGCGTTTTGTAAAGCCGCTTCAAAATTACTGTTAATTGGAAATAAATTTGTTTAATCTAATCACCTGACAGCACACTTCAGGTAAATTTTTACTCACAAATGACTTGTATAGTGTAAAGTAAATCCAAGTAATGTTATCCATATTTGAGAATTTCAAAGTGATACTGCAAAGTTTCAGAATAAATAGCATTCCATTACTCTAAAGCCTTTAACTATGTAGCTCTCAGAGACTGATCATTCTTTTAATTAGTTTCTACTCCAAATAAAGGCTGTGTGATCTCTGATTATCATTTAAGCTCCTCAAACAAAGACATAATTCTCTAATTACCTACAAAATCATATAGGCTTTTATCCCATACTCAAGTGACCTGTGAGTACTTATCATCTTTGTACATTTTTACATACAATATCACAAAAACTGCAAGGAAGGTTCCCTTACTGCTCTTTTTTAAAAAAAAAAAAATCTATGAAAAGAGAATTTCATTTTAGTACTGAAAAAACAGCTTTCTCTAAACACTGTAATTGATCAGGAGGAGAAGATATGCATTAACATCATGCTAGTCCATGCCATTTAGAATAGCCAGTGCCTCTAAACTTATGATGCATATACCAAAATCCTCAGAGATTCAAAAACTCCAAGACACAGGTCCCACAAGCCTTAAAAAGTGGAGAAGGCATTCCACAGGCAGAAGCAATATTTTTCCTCAAGAGTTACACTGATCTTCTGTAAGTTTGAGCTGGGAAGGCTGCTGGACTCTGCAGGGACAGCAACACGGACTCATCCACCCCTGCTAGTTTGCCTTCCCTCACAGCCAGCCACAGCACTGCTGCTCTGCCTGTGTCCTACCCAGCGTGGGAGGCACATCTGAGCTGCACACAAAACACGTGGCTCAAGAGCCACAGGATCTCTACCCTGTAGTGCTTCCCTTCCTCAAGCCCAAGTCCTGCAAGCATGGTAAGGGCAACCTCCCTGGGGACATGATTAGGTTATACTGCCTTTCCAAGAAGACAGGAGACTAAGAGAGGCTCTGCTTTGGGATTTCTGATACTAGGGAAAACAAGAAGGGGAAAAAAGTTTATTCACCATGTTGAAGCTGGAAAACAAGAAGTTGGAAATAATCGCAGGCAATCAAAACAAATACACTCTGCCATTTCTAAGACAAAAATTTAGATCAGGCCCGTTTTTTTTAGCATATTCATTAGGCCACATCCTAAGGGATCATCTCATAGAAACCCTAGCATAGACAGATGAAGGAACGACAAACTGTAGGCTCCAACACAGCAACCAGGAATAGCAAAAAGTGAGAACAAGTTCACACTATACCCGATATATACTTCAGATATTATTTTAACAAACTGTGTCTCATTCTTCATCATTATCCAATTGAATTTTAAGACTGGAGAGCTTACATCTCGTAATTGTAACAAATATAAGATGGAAGGATTCCTAATATTTCTTTATTTCTCTAAAATACATTTCTCCAAGCTTTTTTCCAGGTCATGTACATATCTGCCATACCAGGCTCTCTATAGTCATGCATGATATTACATAACTTCCCACAAACAAATAGATGATTGCTCTTCTAAGCTTTTTACTTTTCATCTCATGAATTCCCATTTTTGTAGGGTCCCACACAGCCTGTTTTTATACTAAGCAATGCTGTACCAGTGGGGACCAATCCATGCCAATATGCTAAACTATGTAAGACTTCAAAAGAGTCGTGTCACATCTGCTCATAAGCTGCCAACAACACCTACTTCATCTCCAGCCACAGCTTCAACAAAGGTACAGGCAATAAAACTGACCGTAAAAATGAAGAAAAAAAACCAAAACATGGATCTGAAGGAGGGACCACTAAGATTACAGAGGAGAAAGTCTGATATGCCACCTTAAAATATGAAACCCTTGCAAGGCCACCTGACTTCTCTAAAACAAATCTATTCTAAATACCTTTATTTTTACCACTGGAATCTTCTACGACCTCCACCAGGCAAAGCCAGCCCAAATGAGGCCATACAAATCACCCTCTTCCCTTTGTTAGTCTTTCATTTGTTGCAATGTTTTCCTTTAAAGGAAAAACTATTTGGGTCAGGGCATCATCATCAAACCTTGTGGGACAAGCCCATATTAGCCCATATTTTACTACAGCCAAAATTAATTTGACAAGCAGAACATCCACAATCCAGTGAGATGGCAATTGGCACACGATGGTGGTCTATCAGATGCAACTATACTCCATTGTGCATATTTTTATGCATATTAACAGACCTTCTGATGAACCCATTTTGTGGGCAAATAGATTTGCCTCCAAAGAGGAGCTGCTGCCATTTAGCACAGAAGGTGTTCATAAAACACTGCGAATTTCTCCAGGTTAAGCTACTGTGTGGAGCTTAATCACTAACTAGGGGCTTGTACAAAGCTATTCAGTTGAGAGGCACAGCTGTAATGGCTCACAGAGTATTGTTACAGCCCAGCTGCACATAAATTAAATCCATTAGGCTTCAATGCACTCAGCTATCATAAAAGTGCTTCTTATTTTTAAAAAGAGTTATGATAAAATCAATCCAACTGAATGAGACTGAAACTCTAGAGCAGTCTATATTCTTTACTCTTTGGAAATGCAGTTTTCTATTATCTTTTCAAATGTGACAAGGAGAGAAGAGGAGACATTAATATTATAAAGTGCAGTTCTAGTTTGGAAAATGTAAAAATAGCAACTTTCTATTCAACAGACATGCTCTCTGCTCTCAGTTTCTGTGCTTGACTTTCTCCTGATACAAGTGAGCAGAAAATGCACAACACAGGAGATGATAATCCACAGCAGCTATGGTATGAAAGTATCGGTATACTAACAACTGCTTATTCCTGTTAGTGGCCACAAACTAACCAGCTCATTCTGACAATAAGCTAGATTCTTTTTTGATACACTCAACAACAGACATGCTTACCTTTTTCCCAAACCATGCTGGCAATGCTATGGCTCACACACTTCATAGGGCAGAACATGGTATCACAGGGATGATGCATCAGACGAAGAAACGCCACTTTCATCCTGACATGGTCAAAAGGAAATATTTCAGAATATAAAGACACATCATGCTAGTTTAAGTCACTTTAATGGAACCAAAAAATGTT